TTTTACTAAATTATGCACTCAATTTTTTTGAGTGCCAAGCACGTGAAGGTTATACAGAAGAAAACAAGACAAAATACTGTTTTATTCATTGAGGTCAGGATATTGATAATTACATGACAGCAAATCTTTATGAAAAATCTGACACTGATATGCAAATAACTGTTAGCTACAATGACTTTTCTTTGAAGCTGATTCTAATTATGTGCTACCAGTTGAAATTCAAAGCAACAACTGTTAAAGACCAGTTATCTGAGACCTCACCTCCAACTAAATCATTACTCAGATTAAAAGTCAAATGAAAAGTATTTATTCCTGCCTACTTAAAACCCACATTGAACTAGGGTGTCATGGAAAATATATAAAAGATAATGATTTTTAAAGATGACAGCAGTGATAAATGTCTACCTTTCTCACTCTTAAAAGTGGAGCATGTGCAATTCACACCTCAAAAGACCTATGGCAAGATTTAATGGATAAAAACAAAATTGATAAATCTATTTTAAAAATGAATAGGATGAAATAAACACAGATTTTAAAAGCTACTAGGGGGACACCTGTAATCCTAGCTACCAGGGAGGCTGAGATTGGGAGGATGGAGGATTGAGACCCCCCCATCTCCAAAATAACCAGAGCAAATGGACTGAGTTGTAGCTCAAACCATAGTGCCTGCTTTTGCAATTGGGAAGAACGGAGTTCAAACCCCATAAAAAAAAGAAAAGGAAAGGGGGGGGGTAAGCCCCAAACTATTAGGAACAAATCTTGAAAATGTAGGTTGCAAGACAATGGAATAAAAAGATGAAAGATTGTATTTAGCCATAATGTCCTAAGAAAAAGTGGAATATCCTTTCAAAGACACTGAAGCTTATATAAATGAATTTACTTGGATAAGTGTATATCCTAAAATGCATGTAGAATGATACGGTAGTGAAGAGATGGACTATCATAGTTCCATTTAGAAAGTTTTTGAGACTGGGTCATGTTATGGAGCCTTCACCTTGATCTCAAGATCCTTCTGCTTTTCCCTTCCCAATCCTGTGCTTACAGGTATAGTACCATTTATACTATACATCTCATATCTCTATTTCAGTGAATGATTTTTAAACTGACAGGCAAGGATTACCAAGAAAGCTTGTTACAAATGGAGATTCCTAAAAACTAGGAACAATGGTACACACTAGTAGTCCCAGGTAGTCAGGATGCTAAAGTAGGAGGACCCCATGCCAGATTATATCTCAAAAAACAAAACAAAACAAAACAAAACAAAACTACACAAAAAGATTTCCTAGTCTTAGTTTCACAGATTTAGAATTTTTAAGATCTGTGGTAGGACTCAGGAAATCTACAAATTTTAACAAGCATTCAAAATGACTCTATTGCAAACAGCCAATAACAAGGGAGAAGAATCTTGTAGTTTTTTAACTCAACTAAGATCTTCAACTTATACATAAAATAAGCTAAATAGATAAGGTTAAATAAACACTTTACTCAAGTTTAGAGTTCCCTAGTTCTGCCAGTTTAACCAATTATCTTCCACCATTCCAGGGCCTTTGCTGTTTTCTCCAGCTTCTCTCACTACCTTGACCCATTCAATCTCTTACCCACTTAGAAGCAACCTCTCTGATTAGACTTTTTGTCTAGGCCCACACTGGGGCTAATTTTTTTGAGCAAAGAGTCCCTTAGTACCCATGGGAAACTGGTTCCAAGACCCTCTATCATACCAAAACCTGCAATATAATACAAGGTTATACTATATAATAAAATGGTATAGTATATATAAAATGGTCACATATCACCCACACACATCCTCATATTCTTGAAATCATCTTTAGATTACTAGGCTGCTCAAGTGGTAAGAGTGCCTACCCAGCAACTATGAGGTAATGAGTCAAAAAAAAATTACTTATCATACTGAATACAAAGTAAATGCCATGTAAATAGTTGTTATTCAGCATTGTTTTGGGAATAATGACAAGAAAAGTCTGTATGTATTTTACATATTTAGTAGTCTATTATACTCGTAATTTTTTTAAGAAAATATTTTGATCCCCAGTTGATTGAATCCATGGACATATAACCCAGATGGGGATTTATTTTTTCCTGTAACTGGGATAAAAAGCTCCCTGTGTTTCCAGAAACTGATGTTTTACTTTTGTATCCCTTTCACAATATTGCATTCCCTTTTCCTGCCTTCAATTTGGTACCAGTATCTCACTTTTCTCCACACATGTAGCACAGTACAAGGGGTAGAATAAGTACTAAATAAATGGCAGTTTATACTTATCTCTGTGAAGTATTTTTCTAAATGGGGATCATGCCTCACAATCAAATGTGAAACCAATTTTGTGAGTTATAAATTGAATTAAAGAAAAACACACAGAACAGTTTTTTGTGTGTGTGTGTTGTAACATAAAATCTATTTCTTACTATAGGTTGCAGTCAAAACATTTGAAGGCCACAATCTTGTAAATGTTGATTAAGGTAAACATCTCCAAAAAAATCTTCAACATTTAGTAAGCAAAGATACATTTTCCCACTCAATTAACATTCAATATCCAGTCAGTCTCCCATTCTTCATTCCTCAAAGCTAATACTGGGCGCCAGTGCTCACACCTGTAATCCTAGCCAGGCAAATAGTTTGAGACTCCATCTCCAAAATAACCAGGGCAAAATGGGTTGGAGGTGTGGCTCAAGCAGTAGAGCATCTGCTTTGCAAGTGGTAAGCCCTGAGTTCAAACACCATTCTGAAGGAAGGAAAAAAAGAAAGACAGAGAGGAAGGGAGGGACGGAGAGAGGAAGAGAGGGAGGGAGGGAGAGAAAGGAAGGAAAGGAGGAAGGAAGGAAGGAAAGAAATAGGCTTATTCATTTCCCCCTGCCTCTTAACTCAAAAGGAACAGGTAAGTCTTAAGCCAAATGTACACTTTTTGCAGTCCAAGTATCCACCAGAATCTCTCTCTTATTTAGATGAGTCATCAAAGTATTCTGACGCACTTCAGATGGCTCTCAGTGCACCTGTCCTTGCCTCAAGACCATCTGAAATTCTAGATGTCCCAAATAGGGATTTGAAATTTTCGTAACTTTCCACATCCAGAGTTTAGGATTATGCTATGGTCCACCCTTGCCCTCAAGATCACCTTCTTTCTGAAGCCAGGTTATTTCCATCATAATATTACTTCCTCCACCAAAAAACAAAACAAAACACCACAAAATAAAAAGGGCTGGTGGAGTGGCTCAAGTGTAGGAGCGCCTGCGTAGGAAGCATGAGGCCCTAAGTTCAAACCCTGTGAAGAAGACGACAACAACAACAACAACAACAACAAAAACCACTGTAATGTTACTTCCTGGTAACACTGATGCTGTCTGTCTACAAAAGTTTTAATTACGTAAGTTGTAAGTTGGTTCTATTTTTTCCTAACCTAAAGTAGTGTCACAATGATAACTCTGTGCCCTTTTCTAGGCTTCCTATTTTGCAAGAAGTGAATGCTTATCCAGGCCTCTACTACACTGTGACCTGTCACATCTTATACAGTCTTCTTTTTTAATGTTACCAGCATTTATTTGGAGTGAAGCCCACTCCTGTAATAACTTTTGTAACTTTGTTCAATGGAATTACTCTCCTACTCTCCAACCTCATTAACACTGTGTTCATGCCTCTATTAGCACCTATGGATAGGTCTATGGACACAGTAATTATTTACAAATCTGTCTCCTATACTAATTTTCCATGATCAATTCCAACTTCTATGTGCATACCTCCCACTACTGACCAAACACACCACAGTGTGTTTCCACATAGTAGGGCCTTGGTACTGGCTTACTGTATTGTACTGAAAAGGTGAAAAGTTTAATTCAGTTGATATAAAAATAGGTTAGGAGTTGTTTGTAATGCTGAGCATCCTCTATATTCTCAACTGTATTTTAAAAATACATATAAAACTATGAAAAAGAACCATGGGGGAAGTGGTAATAAAGAATGTAGAAGTAAGCCAGGCGTCAGTGGCTCCCGCCTGTAATCCTAGCCACTCAGGAAGCAGAGTTCAGGAGGATCGCGCTTCGAAGCCAGCACGGGCAAATAGTTCGGGCAAATAGTTTGTGAGACCCCATTTCGAAAAACCCACCACAAAAAAGGGCTGGTAGAGTGGCTCAAGATGTAAGCCCGGAGTTCAAGCCTCAGTACCGAAAAAAAAAAAAAGTAGAAGGAAAACATGAAGGCATGATAAAAGGGATATGACGCCTTCTGCATTTCTACACGTGGTCCACTAAGTTGGTGCTTGAAACCTTCGCTCAACCTTCACCATTCTGCCCTGTCATCCTTTTTTCCCTTTATTTTAAAAACCGCCCACACCACGGATTGAACAACACCCCACTTTGCTGAACTTGGCTCTCTCATGGGGCCCAAAGAAAATAAGGAAGCAGACTCCCACTTGCCCCGCTCGTGCTCCAGCTTCAGCTGGCCACTTTTACCAAACCAAAAGTAGGCAACCATTTCCCTCTCAAGTCCCAACTAAAATGGAAGCGCGTCTAGACCTGGACACCTTTAATCCTCTGTAAGCCCGTGTTTTTAGGTCATCGTCTTTCCTCTCCTCGCCATCGTCTCGAAGTGACTCGAGATAGACATCTGTGTGGCAGGCGCAGGCTTAACGCAACTTCCAACACCACCTGCAGGTCCCACCGCCCTCCCTCCACCTGCAGCCTGCCCCGTAGGCCTCAAAGAAGGGAATCCAAAAGCTCCTGATGATGGCTTGAATGTGGCTGGGTACACTTATGACCCCCTACTAACTTCCTGCCTGGCCCGCGGGCTTCTCCCCACCTTTCGTCCGAACCCTTCACGAGTGTCCCCCTCCGCAAGTACCCTGTCCACCCATCCCCCCCCCCCCTGCACTTTGGCAGATGAGCCGCTCGGCCCTTGCGCTCCACTCCCTTCCGGGATGGGGCTCGGCCTGCCCTCCTCGAGGGTGTCCACGCCGGCCCGCTGCACAGACCGGCCAATCGCCCCTACTCACTTTGGGCTTTTCAGGAAGCTTCTTCCGGCTCCTCTTCCTCTGCTCCTCGTTGCGGAGGTTCTTCAGCTGCGCTGGGTCGTCCGAGGCCGGCACGGCCGCCGCCTCCTCCCGCTTGCGGGGAGGGCTCCTCCGCTTCTTGCGGGCGCCGGCGCAAGCCGCGGCCCAGCCGTAGACCAGCAGGAAGAGCAGCAGCAGCCCGAGCGCACCGGTGCCCACCAGGATCACCCAGCCCGGATACCGCTTCGGCTCCAGCCCCAGGTCCAGGCCCAGCTCGGTGCGCAGGAAGCCGAGGCCGACCGACAGCATTTCTCGCAGCCGCGCCGAACCCTCTTCGGCCTGCTGGGCCAGCTCGTCCTGCCAGCTCTGTGCAGCCATCTTCCCTCCGTCACAGGGACTCGCAGGATGACGCTGGGGCGCAGTCACACCGAGGAAGAGGCAAAGGGAGGCGCCGAGGGTCCGGCCGCCTCAGGCCGAACGCATCGCGGCCGCCCTCGCGCCGGAGCCGGGGATCGGCCGCTGCGGGGAGGGCAGAGGGGGCTTCCAGGTCCCCCCCCTCCCAAACAGCCACACACCGCCGCCGCCGCCAGGAGGACAGGGGGGACAGGAGAGGGAGTGTCTCCAGTGGCGGCCGCTAAGCGGCGTCTGGGCGCCAGCGCCAGGCCCCGCTGTCCTCCCCCGGCGGAACAATGGCGGCCGGGGCCGCGCTGCACGCCGCACGGTGGGACCTCAGCGGGTCACGTGGGCACGACGGGCGGGGCGTGGGTGTCACGTGGGCGCGGTGGGGGCGGGTGGAACTGGGCGGGGCCGGAGTCCTCGGGCGAAGCGTGGTGGGTGTGGTTGGCTGTGAAGGGATACGGAGTTTGGGGACGGTGACTCGGGACGAGGGGCGGGGAAGCTTAAGAGAGCTTGGAGAGGTGGCGCTCCTGGAAGACGAGGGTGCGCGCGCAGGGTGATGGATGAGCTAGGAACCCGCAGCAGGGTGTAGCTCAAAGTCGCCCCGGGTAGGAGTAGGGGCTTTTCATCCTTTTTTCTGTGTGATGTTGGAGGGGAAGCGGCTTTTTCCCCCTGAGGTCACTGGTCGGCCAGACGGTTCCAGAATGGGCCCAGGTTAATTCACAACTGGGTCTCTCCCTTCGAGGCCAGCTAGTGCCGCCAGCCTGCCATTTGCCGTCTGGCCAGGGCGCGTTCGCGTCCTTGTGCTCATTCATCCGTTCCTGCTGTCTGCTGTGAGCGTCCGGAATTCAAAGTTGGAAAGCCCGTGGGCGGCACTGTTACTTTTCCACTAATTTGTAGCTTTAATAGGCAATAATAAGAGGAAGCACATTAGGTTGTATTTACATGTAGAGGAAGCTTCCTCGTGGCGTTTTATTTTAAAGTTTCATACAACTCCACGAAACGAATTTCAGAACAATCTTGCTTTTTATGGTCTGTGTGTGTGGCGGTACTGGGGGTTGAACTCAGGACCTCAAACTTGCTAGGCAGGCGCTCTACCACTTGAGCCACGCTACCAGCCCTTCCCATCCTCCTTTTGTTTGTCTGCGAGGGTTATTTTTTGAACAGGGTCTAGCTTTATGCCTGGGTGGGCCTGAACCACAGTTATTAGGCTTTTGGGCCAGATTGACAGGCGTCCGCCACCACGCCTAGCCGTTGGTTGAACTGGAGGTCTCTGAACTTTTTTGTTCAAGCTGGTTCCAACCGTGATCTCCGTCTCCCAAGTAGCTAGGATTACAAGTGTGAGCCATTAAGCCTGGCCTTGTTTTCATATTCTTTGTTGATCAACTGTGGAATATCGGTTTAGAAGGAAATGAAGAGCCTTTTCAGATTTTAATTACAAAAATATTTGGGGCCAACTTTAGGGTTTTAAAATTTCACTTTGCTATAAGGAAACTCAGTGTTTTATCATAAATGATAATTATTATGTAAGCAAGTGAACCAATTATAAAGCACCGGATATCAAAAATGTACTAAGTATTTTGACTTTGCAGCAGTGTTGTAATGCATGTTGTGATTAATGGAAGTTTTGTAAATTATAAATAAAAATAAACTGCTAAACTTTATACAGACATGATTAAAGACTAAATTATACATGCCAGAAAATAAAACATTCCATTCATATTTTTGAAATAAGGTTTAATCCTACATGTGTACTTAGGTTCCAGACTCAAAAGGTCGTGATTTGCCTAAGAAGTTTTACTGACCATTCTAGATTATACCTGTGGTCTTGTGAATTAAACTATTACAATAATGGGGGTGGGTGACTTCCTTTTGGCAGCCTCAAAAGTATTGATTCAGTAAAATCATATTGCCTTATATTTTTCCTGTAATTGTCTTTAATCTTAATAGAAAACATATGTTTACTGTAGGTGGTAATACAGATAACACTCATTTTTAACTTTCTTGTCATCTTTCCATGTATTTAAATTTTAAAAACAAAAATAAGGTCATACACTACTTACAGTTTTGCACTTGATGTAGTCATCAGCACTCATGTCCATTGGTAAAACACATCTGGTAAAGCCCATCAGGAATACAGGTGTAATCCTACAAAGTTAGGTTTCTTACTGTGCATCAGGATGGAGTTTAGGTAAAATTTAAAAGAAGCAATTCTTCGAAAGATTCTAAGCAAAGCAGGGCCAAGTGTGATGCCGTTAATATTAGCTTTGGTCTAAATAGAATGAGAATACTAATTATTTGTGAATGGCAAAGTTAGAATAAATGTAAAATGTCAGAAACCCCTTACTAGGTGCTCTGGGTTGCAAAGAAGGGCTGCTTTTCTGGAAGTGACCCAAGCAAGGGAATACCACTCAGAAATAGAAAAAAAAAATGAATTATAAAAATACATACAGCAGCATGAATGCATCCCAGTTACGCCGAGTGAAAGGAGCCAAACAGAAAAGAGTACGTAGTGCATGATCCCACTTATGTAAAATTGGAAAATGCAAAATAATCTGCGGTGGTTACTTGGGGATGTGGGGTAGGAGCAAAGAGGTCGGAGGGAGGTATTAAAGATGGGTACCATGAGACTGGGAGCGATGAATGTATTCATTATTGAGATGATTGTTTTAGAGCAATATGCATAATTTAGGGCATCAAATTGTGTACTGTAAGTATTAGCTTATGTCAACTATAATAAAGCAGCTCAAAAAGATTTAAAGAGTGACACATATATGGCTCTGATCTTAACAAGAGTGGGATGTTCCTTTGTTACTTTGGGATTTCAAAGTTTTTGTTGATCTATGCTTTTAAAGAACAAGGTTTCTTACCACTATAGTCTTGTTAATTACTAAAGCAGTTTTTTTATGGGTTTGTACAATAAATACTTTATCATTTTAATAGTATTTAACAGACTATTGTCTGTCTCTACTAAAATTTAATATATATTGTTGAATAGTTAGATTATTTACAGGTTTTGTCTTGTTTTCCCTATCAGATGCAATTCTGTCACTAACATTGCTAGTAACTTAGTCTTTGTGAATATCCATTATTATGTCCTGAGGATAGAATACTGGCATGGAATGCTTGAGCTGTACCCCCCTAATGTATTAATTAAACACTTTAATTTGAAAGTTTTGAGGAACCTGAAGAAGTGCTCAGCCTCGAGCAAGAATGAAGAGTAGGGGACATGAGAGAACATGGTATATATGGACTATGATAAACATGGTTATGTAAGTACGGATAAAGTCTATAGGATTTGGTGAGGGGATGAGAGAATTGTCAAGAATCACTCCTAGGCTTCTCAGTTCGTGTTGGAGAGCTGGTCATTCCATTCACTAAAGTGTGGAATATTGGGAAAGAACTAAGTTTTACAAGGTAAACATGGTTTTGTATATATTTTGAGGAGTACAAAATGTTCAGGTGAAGATGCCAAACAGGCAGATATATGGGCATAGACCCCAGAAGAGAGAACAGAATTGGTGGCACCTCTTGCTTTCTTTGCTCCAATCCTCAATCGTTTGATGGTCTCCATAGTTCCAACACCTTGCATGCTCTTCCTTGTGCATGCAGCTCATTTCTTTGCTTTTCCTAGTTAACTACTGCTCACTTTTTTATATCTCAAATGAAATGTCATTTTCTCCCAGAAGCTGTGCTCAACCAGGTACCTTCCTTAGGTGACATGTTTTCACAGCACCATAAATTTTCGTAGTATTTGTGGAAATTATAATTTCATATTAATCAATATAATTAATTTAATTATTTTTACTCCTAATTTCCATGAAAATAGGAGCTGTATTTTTGCTTGCCATCATACTGTACTCCATACCTAGCACAATGCCTAGTCAACAGAAGTTGCTCAGAACATACTTAGAATAGTTACACGAATAAAAACACTAATAGCCATTTATATTGGTACAAAGATATGTCTCTAATCAAAGGCATCAGTATTTTGTGGAATAAAGACTAAGATGCTCCAACTCCTAGTATTCACACCCTTGTAAACTCTCCCTCAAGAATGGAGGAACTGTGGCTCCCTTCTAATCAATAGATTATGACAAAAGGATATGGGATGTCACTTCTTTGATGACATCCCATCAAAGACTACGTAAGATTGTAGTCTCCATCTTGCTAGTAGACAATTTTCTCGTTCCCTTACTGGTTTTGGTGAAGTAAGCTTCCATGACAGGCCCATGTGGCAAAAAACTGAGGGTGCCTCCTACCAGCAGCCAGCAAGAAAGCGAGATTCTCAGTTTCACAACCCAGAAAGAAAAGAATCAGGCCAGCAATCTCACGAGTTTGGAAACAGATCTTTTCTAATTGAGCATCAAATGAGTCCCTGTTCTAAGCAACACTTTCTGAGACCCTAAAGCAAAGGACCTAGCTAAATTGTGTCTGTACTCCTGACTCCCAGAAACTATGAAGCAGTGGGTATTGTGTTAAACTGAATTTGTGGTGATATATAGATAACTTATTTTTATGATTTGTTACCTGGTAGTGGGGTGCTGCTATAACAAAAAGCTAAAAATGTGGGAGTAGCTTTCAGACCGAGAATTTTGAGGAGTGTGCTAAAATCCAAATTGCCTTTGAGCCTATTGTTGGTAGGAATATGGGCTTTAAAGACATTCTCAAGCTCAAAGGAAACAAGCATTTCCTTTTAATAACATAATGACAGAAAACTTAGTCAAGTGTCCTGAATATAGGAAAAAACAACATGTAAGTGATGAAGTTGGATATATGTAATGGGATATTTCCAAGCAAAGTGTTGAAGGTGCCACTGAGTTTCTTCTCAAAAGAAGAAACAAAAGGTGGTAGGACTCTGAAAATTCCAGGTGCTTCATATCCAAGAAGATGCTAGATCAAAAATGGCTTCCAAGAACCTTCATGAAAAGTGGCATAGAGAAAAAGCCCATGATGTGACTATAACCTTGTGTTAAAATCCCAGAAAGATCAAAGGATCAAATATTCATTCACTCCCCTCCCCACATACACAAAAGAAAGGAACCTTTATTTAAACCGTAGGTGCCAAGGAAGTTCCTCAGTGATATCAACAGGAACCCAAGGTAGAGAAGGGCTTACCTAGGAGAGATTTTTGGATATCTCTTTTATCCAATGTAGTGAACCCCAGCGAAATGCACAGAAGGCCCACAGAGCTTTTGAGAAAATTTACATTACCAAAACACTGCTAATTTGGGGTAAAAGGGACAGGGAAAGTAGGAGATGAAAAGGTGTTGATCTTTCAGCATTCTACTAGTAAAAGTAAA